AATAGAACAAAATCAAGTTCATGTATGAAAAAGTTCTTAATTTTATAAGATATCTTCACGAAATTTGGGAGAAGTCACAACGTCAGTCAAAGGTATAATCTCAGAAGAAATCGTTTAGATCGAATCACTATAACATATAGCTGTCATGCAAACTGTATAACCAAAGTCAAGTCCTTATATGAAAATCTTTTTCAATTGAAGAGATATCATCATGAAATTCTACAAAAACTATTATCCAAGACATATCTTTAATGTGCAGAAAAATTGCTTAGATCGGACTACTATAACATATAGCCACCATACAGCTGATTGATCAAAATCAAAAGGATATACCCTTTTATGCTGTAATAAATACACTTATGCGGATTATTATAGATTCGTTGTAGCCTAAGTTAACTGCTTTTTAATGATTTGCTTTAGATATGCCATTTTTCTGTTTTCTCACTTTCACCTTTCACGCGCTCTTTGTTCCATTTACCGCCTTTGCTGTACTTGTGTATGTCTGTTGCATATGTGTGTGTGTGCATRACACTTAACAACTTTTGTTATCACTTGGTTTAGTTTTTGTTATTATATTTTTTCTATTGTTTTTCGTCTTTTTTCACTACTTTTTGTAATTTTTTCTACTACCATTTTATTTTTCTACTACTTTTTGTAATTTTTTCTACTATTTTTTTATTTTTCTACTACTTTTTCAATTTTCTACTACTTTTCATATTTTTTTTTTACTCCCTTTTATATTTTTTTCCACTACTTTTCATATTTTGTGCGCAAAAGCATATTTATTGCTTATTATTTTTTGTGGTTGCCATATTTTCACACACTACAGCACACTTCCATATTATTTTTTATTTTTGTATTTTTTATTTTCCGCCTATTAATCACATTTTCAGTGCTACTGCAGGCTCAGCACTATACACCAAGCAACTGATAAGCCACGCACTCAGCGCCCACACACATTCCGCTGCATTGAAGCGTGTACAATTTGCAGTGACACGACACCCAGCTGACGGTGCAAACAAAAAACATACAAATCTGTCAACGCCATGCACGCCGGCGGGTCAACGCACGTAGCGCTGACACCAAGCAAAACACAAAAACAAACAACAAAAACTAGTAATTACTTTACTTTTGTGCGCCAGCAGCCGGCGATGTGGAAAATTCTGTGATAAACAGCCGGCAGAACGCGGCGAAGGCGCAGCAATTGAGTTTAGAAAAAAAAATTTATATTATTTTTAGACACTTGCAACACTTTTGGCGCACTTCAACAATTTTTTACACTTCTAGCTTTAAAATTAATATATTTTCTCATATTTTTAGTAAAAAAAAATATCACCTAAACACTTTGCCTGTTAGCTTGCACAACTCACAAATCACTGGCGAACACTGACAAAAGCGTATGTACTAAGCGCGTAACAATAGCAACAACAACAATAATTCAATTAATCACAATAAAAAGGTAAGAATGTTGAAAATGAATATGCAAACAAATTGAAAAATAAGCGCGTTAGAGTTTCAAATGTGAAGCGGCGAAATTTTGTCTCTCATGTCAACACGCGCCAAAATGTTACTTGCGACTGATAGCTGGTCGCCAGACGACGTGAGAACAATAACAGCAGGCGCGCGTACATAAAGCTTCATATATTTGTATACGCGCGTGTATGTGTGCGTGTGTGCATGTATACGTCAAGTGTGTAGATACACGATGGTTACACGGTTCGTAATTGTATATGTGCACGCAGTCACTCATACGCCAGGGTGGCTGTGTGTGAATTCCATTGAAGAATTCAAAATCGAAAAGCGCGCTACACCTTGACACACACACACACAAATACATTTGTGTATATACATATACACTGACGAACTACTATACACTGATATGAAAGCTCGTCCTTTGCCTTTACTTGCCTGGTGTTTGGTGCGCGCCAATGTGTTGGTATAAACACAACCCATATGTTTTCGCTTTTTTGCTCTTTATTTCAATTTAAAAAAAATTCCTTATGTTGATTTTCAAGTTTCTTGTAACGTGAGCTTTCACATGAAAGCTTTAAGCGCTGCATGCAGCTATGCAGCGGAGTAGAAAAACTCTTAGTTTCGAGTACAGCGTCTATAAGAGCGCAGTCTCTTACCCACTGAGGTGCGTATTAGTAGAAATTCACCACAAAAACGCTCTCTTAAGCAGTAAAGCTCCGTTTTGTAAGCTTTTTGAGCTTTTATATCTCTTTTGGGCTACAATAACTGCTTAACTACACCACCTGTTGCACGCCATACAAAAAATATGAAAAGAAATGTCAACTAATTCAACATGCAATGCGGTAAGCAAGAGTAGCTTAAATAAAGAGCAAAGAGCCAAAGAGAGAGAGAGAGAGAGAGCAAAAATTGAAAAATGAAAACCCTTTCTGAGGTTTTTTTTTTTTTGTTTTTGTCTTAAAAAGAGACTTTCACTTCAAGAATGCAAGAGTAGTGGTTGAGTGTGACTAGCGTGACAACACTGCTGTGGTGAATAGGTGATTCAGTTATTCTTCTGAGAAACTCTTGATTTGAATTTTAAACTAAAATGGGGCTTTAAATTTGAACTAAAATTAAATTTAAACTGGAATTGATAACAAATTTAAAAATAAAACTTAGCAAAAACTCAATAATAACTGCATACATAATATAGTGGTGAAATATGGCTTTGGTAATGACTCAACATCTGTCATAAAAAAACTTTGACATGAACTAAATCCGAATTCTTACTTTTTAATTATTCATCTACAAAATGCTACAAAATCATATTTTAGAGACTAGTTAGCTCTTTTCCATATGCTATGCTGAAAGTACTAAAAAATAATTATATAATTATAGTTCTACTACGAAAAATAATATTAAAAAAATCTAGCATTTCACCATTTGGTGTTATTTATAAAGATTAAAGGTGCAATATATTTCTAAAATGTGTTTGTCGGTAGAATTTTGGCGCAAAATTTAACTCAAATATGTAGTCTTTTTTTTTTTTTTTTTAGGTATGCACCACATGAAGATTAGTATAGAGAATAGACTACCGGGTGCTAGTGAGGCGACGCAAACCCTATCCGGAAACATGGATCCATGGGCGTTGTGCAGTCGAACAGTCGATGTTATACAGATGCCTATTCAGCTTGCAGTGGCCACTATACAATGCAACAGGTAGCCTGAGTTTGTAACTGGGGTGGTTAATTACAAATTTGATCCAACTCAGGTTGTATTCTCCAATTAACAACTTGGCATGTCTCACACCATGTGCGTGTTGCCCGAGACATCATTCGTCTTCAAAAGGAAAATTACTGTTATCAAATGGTGCAGCTTAGCATTTTTTGCCACGCTCGCTCATCTAAAACTTGTTCAACACTTACAGCAAAAATTATATTAAAGATGACCTTCGGTTGGGGTTTTCCTCACATTGAAGTAATGAACAAGTATTCTGTGGAAAAGCAGCATTTCAGACACAAAATTCAGCATATTTGCGGTAATTTTTTCCTTATGTTTTAAATGAATGAATTTTACTATAAAATAAGCAGAAGGGTACTAGTTATGCAACACATATTCGGAACGCTATCACTTAGCAAAACGCATGAATATATCAGTTATATGCGGAATATGTCAATTACATCAAATACTCCAAACTTAGACCTTCTGCACATATATAGTTTAGGTTCACAAATTTTTAATAGTAATATAGTTTAGAGTTTCCCAATAAGAGTGACATGAGTTCACACCAATTAAAAAAAAAAAAAAAAAAAAAATGTCTTTCCTTATTTGATGTGAAGTACAAACGATACAATTAAATTATGATTTAACATCACACAAATGGTCTTCGCGACTTCTTTTACGTAGTCGATGAACGCTACTTTCGAGTACTTTTTTCAACACATCAAGTCGGATGTCATGTTCAAAAGTTTAAAGAGTGTTAGGTTTATTGCAACAGATCAGTAACTTCAAATAAACCCACAAAAAGTAGTTTAAGGGTGTAAAATCACAACTTCTTGGAGACCAGATTTCAATCAATTTCAGAATTTCGCCAGGTTGTGGTTTGAGACAGTTCCAATTCCTGAAAACGTTTCGGAATCAACAAATTGCGGCCATCAGCAACAATTGCTTGAACAGCAGCAATATTTTCATGCAATATTTTCATTCAAGCGTATTTTTGTCTTACTGGCACTTGAGCAATGAATATGAATTATTGGACGTAAGTATCGCCTATCGTTAGTCGCTACTTTTTCTCATATTACTGGCAAAACTCGAATACTATAACGGTAAAACTGTTCATCTTGTGCTGCTATCTAAGAATCAGGCTATTTTGCGATATCATTTTTTGAATGAAGCCGCTACTGAGCCAGACCATGCGTAATACACCGAATAAATAAAAATTGAATGGTAAAATATCTGAAGAATTTTGCGAATGGGTTGGGCTTTCGCATTTAAATGACTCATTCCTTGCATTTGCCTTGGCAGCTGCCTTCCAATACAGAAGCAAGCAACGAAGCTCAAAGTGTCGAGACCAATCACGGCATATTATTTGACAGCAGCATCTCCGTGAACTTTTTATAATACCCGATGTACTTTTGCCGCCGATTTCTTAGACTAAAAGAAGAAAATCAACGCTTCCCAAAAATAACGATTATTTGGCAAAAAATCGGTCATATGCGCACAACTAAAAGTATATGACACAGAAGCAAAGAGTCATGACTTTTTCATATGTATAGACTATGAAAAATACACATTTTTTAATCTTTGTACCATTTAGCATTAACTGTGCTTACTTTAATATCGACAAGTAGTAGAAGTCATAAATGAAACGTTCCAGCAAAAAAAGATCGCTACGTGCACTGACCACTTTGGCACTTTCGCCGAAACATAATTTAATCGCCGAGACGCAAACTGACAATACGATTGTGTACGAGTGTATACTGCACATGCTCGCTTCGAAAAGCAGAATTAAAAGTAGCAGATTAAAGTAGAGAAGTAGAGTGAGCACTTACCTCGATGGTGATGTGATGGCCGCGCGAGCGAAAGTTGTCGTCGTTCGAGCGCAGATTCTTCGAATCAATTTGCACATTTGTCTGCATTTTGGCGGTATTGGTTGCAAGGATGGAGGATGTACAAATTCACACGCGAACTCGTTGCGGCAATATTTGCTAACAGTTGTTGTTGTATATTTCTTGTTTTTAAATGATGGCTGTGTGCTCCACTTGTTGTGATGTTTATGTCTTTACTTCTCTCTTTATGTGTTTATTTGTTTGAGTTTCCGTTTACGTTTTTGGTTTTGCTTTCACAATTTGCCTTGATTGTTTAGCTAGCTGAATAACGGTTTAGCCGACAGCCGCCAACAATTGCCTGACAATGGCGGTAATATGCGCACCAGCTGTTCCTCGGCGCGGCAAGACTGGCTACTTAAACTGCCACAAGTGTTTTACTGCGATAAATATTTACTCACACAAACACACTTGCACGCATATGTGTTATATTTAAGCGTCTGTGTGTGTGTGTGTGTCAATAATGGCAGCTTATATACCAGTCGCCTTGCTTGGCACACTCCTCAAACCGGCCGTCGAAACCTTTTCGTGGGTCTATTTGAAAACGACACGAAATCATAAACGAAATACTAACAAATAGCGGTGTTTATTGCTGTCTGTTGTTGTATTTGGCTTGATTGTTGCTTCAAGTGTGCGCTACCCACAGCTTAGCCTGAACTATGCGGCCGAGACTGTTGCGCTACGTATGCCAAATGAGTCACTCACGCGCTCACACCCACTCAGTCACGCAGAAGTATTTGTATGTTGATGTGTGGTTATCCTTTTGCCGTTTAGTATTCGCAGCGCGCTTTGACAGGACAAGATAATGCGATGCCAAGGAACGCGTCCAACTTTCACAGAAATATGGGAAAATATTTCTGCTGATTATGACAAGTGGAATGTTTGTTGTTGTGGTGGTGGTTGATTTTGCGGTTGCTGTGTTTGTTTTCGTTGTCGCTGTAATAGAGAAAAAGAGCGAAACGGAAAAGGCAATAAGAGTTATTTGTCTGCCAAGTAAGTAAGGCAAAGTGATATAAATGTGCTTCATACATTAGGGTGGGTCAAAAATAAATCATACTTTTTTCCGCACGATAATCTTAAAATATGTTTTCAGACACCTCTAAGAAAGTCTCTACAAGTATGAGCTATAATTGTAACATAAAACTCTTCCGCCTTACAGCTTTCCACTTTTTCCTTATTATCAGTTAGAAAGCTTTATATCTCGCTGCCAACTACTTGAAAAAATAACAAAAATAATGTTTCACAGATTTTGTTGAAAATGTAATGCTTTAGTAAAAAGTCATGCACGATTTTTTCATAACTTTAACCTTTTAAAAGATATTAACGATTGTAGTTTGATTATTTGAAGGCAATTTCTTAAAATGTTTGTGCTATAATTCAATGAAGGAACCCACCCTAATATATATACTATACACTTATATAAATTTGAACAAAGATTTGCGATGTGTTTGCAAAAAATGGCGTCACTGGTGGCTTTGGGAGCAGACACACACCCTCAGGCATAAAGAGATATGCTCTTCTTTGGCACACTTATGCATACTGCTATTCAAAATCAAAAATGTTTGGCATAAAATATTATATATATTTTTTGGCAAAATTTATGCGCTCTGGCATTCGCTTGCTTCCCGGACCTCCCTATGTAGAAAAACAGATAGATTTTATCGCTCTTAGCAAAATTGAAGTGTGGAAGATGGTCACTAGAAGAGATATGTAAGTATACACTAGTTTTTTACAGTACGAAAAGGCGCTGCCGTTATGCCGCTATATTCGCTGTGCTGTATTGAGCAATACCAAAAACGGCCGTCAGGAGCGAGATGGACCTCGGCGACTTCCTATCGTGTGGCTTCTTCAAACTATTGCTGGAAAAAATAATTCATGCAACAGAGCTTAATCGACCATTTGTAATCGTCTAAAAGGACCGTTACTGCCGTACGTCGATGATATTGATATAGCTGGCCTCTATAATCGCGACGTTAATTCTGCTTTCTCCATCTTGGACAAAAAAAAAAAAAAACGAGGAAAATGTGTCTGGCAATGAACGAGGGCAAGACGAAATATCTCCTGTCATCAAGCAAACAGTAGTCACACTCGCGACTAGGCTCCTACGTCATAACGTCGAAGTTGTATTACATTAACAAAAACAACAATGTCAGCCTCGAAATCCAGGTTTATTTCTCCTGATATCTCAGTCAGTCAAAGGAACGGATATTTGAAATATCGCGGCTAATTGGTTGCTATTAAATACTGTTAATCAAAGGCACATGCACACGCCAACTGTGCATAATTGTTAGCTGAGTTATAGCACTTTATAATTTTCATTTCCTCAACGAAACTTTCTCCACAAGCAGTCAAATATGCCATGAATGGAATATCAGCCGCACAAGCCGACATGCCAGCAGGCTAAGAAAGCCACATGACGGCTATTGTAGAAGCTGTCAGGAGGTAGAACAACGGGAGACATAAAATATATTATATGCGATTGAAAAGCTTTGTATAGGAAACGAACAGCCGAGAGCTACTTGACGGTGCCTCAGAGGTTGCAAAGATACAACTTTTTGTGCAGAGCACATGTCACTCGGAAAGAAGACAATAGAATGAGGGGATCTTAGCCATGTTGGTTTCTCTGTAGTTGTGTTCTCGGCTCAAATCGGCAGCAAATTCACATGATCACTCTAAGGACATCGTTTTGACTCATTTGAGAATATAAAAGCTAAATCGAAGATTGCTCTGCTGGCCATCACGACGGAGAATTTTTCCAAGTGCTATGGCGTAAGTGTATTGCAGCGGGAGGGGATTACTTTGCAGGTGATGAAATGAAAAAAATTCAGCTTTCAATTTGGCCACAGTATACATAAATTTTTGCTTATAAGATTTAATTTTTATCTGCTGCATTCTCTATTTTATCAAAAAAATTAATTGTGAAACAACACCAAGGTTTCATAAAATTCATTAAAATCGAGTAAGTGATAGCTCCTTCAGAATGCATAAACAAAGTGGTATTTCTATGTGCTTGTTTATGCCAGTTTATGCTATTTATAGTATACCAGTTTATGAGATTAATACCAGTTTTTGTTCGATTCACCGCATATGCACAAATGCAGACTCCATTAGCACTAAGCTTATGATTTAAATTCTATAGAAAGTGGAAAACGGGCCAGCCTGTTTTGGATATATTCGAGTGGCGTTACACCTGCCCAAAAAATAATTTTTAATTGAAATTGAAAATTGCGAATCTAGGCATACGAAGTTATTTACGAAATAGTTTCAAAACAATTTACTAATCTTTAATTAGTAATGTAAACAAGTTGCCACCATTTCAAAAATTATTCAGTAATACATAAATACGTTGGTATGCTTTCTAAATTCTCTTTAATCATAAAACAAAAAACAAATTCGACTAAAATCCTAAATCTATAACTCATAAGCCATTCTTTGGCACAACAAACGCAGCTGATCAATGAAAAGTATTTTAAAAAAAATTTTCGAAAAGTATTAAAGACATTTATCGATATCTCATCATTAACGAGATTTTTACCAAGTTAAGTGAGCTTGGAATTTTCTAAACAGGAGTTCGTTTTCGGATTCTTGTGAATAAACTTAATTTTTGTACAGTGAAGGTAGTGTTATGGGTCACTTGACTTGCAATGATAATTAAAGGTTAACTGAAGGATTGCCAAATATGGAATTTCTTATATTTCAGAAACTTTTCGGTAACTTCGACAAAAAAAAGTCCAAGCTTGTTAACGGTTATGATATTTTAGACATCATTTTTCAATTATGACTGCCAATACACATTTTATTAAATATTTTCCTACATGATTATGGGTCATAGTAGGATAAAAAATTGTATGGTCGTTTCTACAGTTAAATGTTTTTCAATTCATTTTAAATGAACTACACATTTTCTTACCATAGAACTCTTTTAATGAGAACGTCCTATAAATTACAAACAAGAAATCCAAATATTAGGTTGTCAAAAAAGTCTTGCGGTATTCTCGCTAGTTGGCGCTGATAGCGCGTAGTTCTTGTTTAATTCGTCCCATCGGGTTTTGCTATACCTTTTTGGAAAGCTCATTTCACGCGCTAAGACGTGTTTGATTGATTGCCGTTCCTTTTAAGTCGATCGTGAGTTATAGCGTCGCAAACATGGAGCAAAATATAGAGAAAATACGGCACGGAAACATCTTTTACGGTACAACTAGGATAAAGGTAAAAATGCATCTCAAGCCGCCAATAAAATTTGTGCAGTTCATGGACCCGATACAGTTTCCATTTCCACCGCACAACGMTGGTTTCAABGTTTTCGTTCTGGTGTAGAGGTGGTCGAAGATGCGCCACGCTCCGGAAGGCCTGTCGTCGAAAATTGCGATAAAATCGCTGAATTGGTCAAAAGAGGCTGGCATAGTAGCAGCCGTAGCATCGGTCAAGAGCTGGGCATGAGTCATCAAAAAAATTTTTTCAACAATTGAAAATTCAATAAAAAATACCGCAAGACTTTTTTGACAACCTAATATATGAAAATAAAAAGTAGAAGTTTTCTATCTTTACAAAATCCTATCATCTCGAACACTCAACTCATTACAATGCAAACATATATACATACGTACATGTACACACACACACTTCACCGCCGATGGTTGTGCATTTCTTTTGCCTTCGCTGACCCGTTTTCACAATTTTTGTCATGCCACTGCCGTTTAGCTTTCTACATTGCGTTCGTTGCGATTGAATGCCTTGTGGCATCCGATTCCAGCAACGCACATGTTCAACGCCTAATAGCATGCAATAAATATTTAACTTTTCCATTTAGCATTTCAAGCATTCCAGTACTTATCGCACTTTTATATGCTATACGAGGCACGAGTGAAGAGAAATAGAGAGAATAACCCAAAGGCGTTTATATTTTTCTCCAAATGCAAATGCGGCTTATCTTTGTAGCGACTTAAATGTGTGGTGGCATTAAATAGCGCACGGTTTGCACGAAAGTGCGTACGCGTAATGAGACTAGCTCTTGAAATTATAGCGCGTCGAGTATTTAAGACAAACAGAAATGGCATTCAATTAAACGTAATAGATAAGCGATCAATGGCAATGAGCATTAAAGTGTATTCAACAAATAGAATTGAATAATAAACTGCGAACGCTTCGTTAGAGGCGATTATATTTTGTGCGAATCGCTTTAAGAATATTCATTGAACATATATGCGGCTTTCATAGGCGCTTTGCTATGTTCAGAGAGATATTCGATTGATTGTGAGAGTTGCCATATAATAATTTTTATTTTTTTCGATCATTTTGTTATTACTTGTTGATATACATATGTTAATCTGGAAGCATGAAGAAAGTTTTAATCAAACAGGTTGGTTAAAATTGTCATGTTCTTATACCAACTAAAATGGTGCCAGCTTATCTAGTCATAGTGCTAATTTCTACAGCCAAATTGTTAGCCATTCTATAATCATTGAAGAGTGAACTTAAATTTCTTCAAATCTTTGGCAGTTAATTAAAAGTATTGCTCTTGTCAAGGTATTAAATAAGTCTACTGATGATTTATAACCATTACTGTAGAAATCCTTTATTATGAGAGGTTCTCATTATGTMAAATTTAATGACAATCTTAGTGAAACCCAATACATTTATTGCCATTATTATTATGAGAACAACTATTATGACAAATAAGTGATTTAAAAATAAACAAACAAGTTTTAAGTCTGCACCAAAGTTACTTGGAAAGATTATGTCTTCCGATAATGTAAAGTTATGGGCAGTAAGTTTGACACATAATGAAAGCCAGAAGTTTCAATCGTATTTAGTTTGATTTAGTTTGGTTAAGTTTCATAATTTATTGTACAATCAACTATCACGTATGAGTATATGAGTTCAAGGAGTTATTTCAGTAATTAATATAAGTTATTTCTTTGGAGTCAGTTGCGCAA